GTCTACCTCTGTCTTTATCATGATAACCATCATGGGAGAGAAAAAAATATCCAGACAAGAAAAAAAAAGAGGGGAAAAGATTTCCAAAGGTTATTCAGAATTCACATGATAATATCTCCATGCTAAATGTTCATCATATTCATAAATATATGATTATCAATGAAAAGAAAAATTGAGCAAAGAATTTTTTTTTCTTCTAGTTCTCTTTCTTGTCTGTTTGAATATCGATTTTTTCGTTCACTTCAATATTGTAAAGAATAGAGAGAGAGAGAGAGTTCTATTTTCATCTCATCATGAATTCTTGGTTCGTATTTAATATAATTAGATTGAAAGGTAATTCCATAAGAAACATGATAAATTCATGGTAAGAATTCACATGTAAATGGTTCAAGATTAAAAGAAAGTTGATGATTTTCTCCCTCCCTCACTCTCTTTCTCTCTCTTTCTGTCTCTCCTTTATTCTGTTTAGTTGAAACTGTTCATGTTTATTTCCAGAGGATTTTTTTGTTTATATCAAATAATCATCATCATCATGATTATCAACAGATATCTTGATATTACCCCGGCGGTAAAAAACTACATTTACAGTTATCTGAACACTGTTTGACAATTAGTTGATTGTTATTAGTTACTTTTTTCTTGTTTGCTTATCCATACTCATCTTCATACCCTACGATTCTGTGTGTTCATCATTTTATCATCAATTCTGATTCTGGAAAGTATTAGATTAATAGAGAGAGAGAGAGAGAGAAAATGATGACTTTCATCATGTATCTTTTTCACTCCCTCATCCACTCAATAGGAAGACACAGCATCTAGCTTTACCTCTTTAACTAATGTAATTGCTTCACAATGTGACTATTATTTTGTCAAATACCCTCAGGCAAAACTGTATGTATATAGTTACTTATAATATTACAAAGTGTATTTTCATCAACAAAAAAAACCGAGAGTAAAAGGATTTAGGGTAGTGAAAATTTCATTCAGCGTAATGGATATTGTATTTCATTTCAACCCTTGAAAATGATGATGATTATTATGATAAAACATGATCATTTTGATATAAGTATGAAATAAATAAGGAAATAATTTATTTTCACATCAATAATTCAATTTGAGGTTAAGGTGTGAAAAACTCAGTTAATTCATACATGAATTTTTTTCTCAATGAAAAAAAGCATCACCATGAAGCCTGAATTTATCTGAGTTAAGATAATCGCATCAGTTGAACACATCGAGGATGATAAAAAGAAAGAAACAGAGAGAGAGAGAGAGAGAGAGAGAGAGAAATAAATCGATCTACAGGTAAACAAAATGATGAGAAAGATTAATAATAATTTTCTAAGAATCCCCATGGTTTTTCATTCCTGAGGTTTCAGGGGAAACATTTGAAAGAAGAATCATTCTCTCTCTCTCTCTCTCTCTCTCTCGCAGTGTTATTTTTTAATTCTTCTTATCTCAACATTTATAAATTCATCGTTGAATTCAGGATAATAGAAGGTGAGATGATGAGCTTTTGGTTGAATTGTGATCATTTTCGTGTATTAATTCACAAGATGAAGGTGATCATGATAAAAGATTGCAGATTCAATTCGTCATGAAATTCATCGTGACTCTCTTTCTCACCCATACATATGAAATAGATGTTAAAGTAATTTATTTACATCGAGAAAAAGGAGTTAATCGATAATCATAATAGAATAAGGTAAAAGTGAGACAAAGAGAGGGAGAGAGAGAGAGAGAGAGAGAGTTACAGATAAGATGATGAGGATGCTCAAATTAATGATGATGAAGATGGTTATTGGAAGGATAATCTAAACAGAGAAATCAAATATAAGATATATAAATGACATCGTGTATCCTGTTGGTATTATCATAACATAGACTATCAGAATTTGCAGTTTTATCATGATAAACATTTCATGATAACTTTATCTTATCCTCATCATGATTATCATGATACAATGATATTTACCTGATTCTTTAGTTACTTTTTTTTCTTGTTGTTCTTATACTCAGAAAGACAATCAAGAAGAAAAAAATTGTTCTGATTAATCTGATTGTGATTCTGTCTTGAATCAGACAAAAGAGTAACCCTATTTTCATCTGATTACTTTGATAACTGATCTTATTACATGATGATGATGATGGAAAAGATGAAGATATATATATCATCCTTGTCATCATCATCATTATCTTCATCAAAATGAATCCTCATTTATCTAATCAATTGTCAAACTTACAGATATAACAATACATTGGACATTCACTATAATATGTTATTGGTCAAGTTTTATATCCAATGTAATATTATTATTACAGTTACATTATTATACCTTTTTCTGGGTTGATAAAAATTAATTACTTTTCCTTTTATTGTGTCAGATAAATAAATTGTTAAAGATAATCATTGTTATTATATTTAACTATATATAACTATAACTGTAAATTTCAATTGTCAAAATCAAATTGATGGTTAATACTCACACTCTTAGGGAAGGGGATAGATACAAACTGACACTGTAAGTAAATTTAATGATAATAAGAGGACATTAGATATTATTAGTATTAGATAGATAGTGTTATCCAACTGAGAATCAGTAATTTGATTAATTTGAAATTAAATTTTTCCATTTTCCTTTTTGTAAATAACAAAATATGTGACAGATTAGATTGAAAAATCTATTATTAAAGTATTATTATCATGAGAATGATGATCAATAATATTATCCTATTCTTTCACTCTCAGTGTCAAGATTAAGCTTTGGAACATGAATTAGCTTAATCCACTACAAAGCACAAGGTGTTAAAAGCTAAGAAGATGATTAAAGAGAGAGAGAGAGAGAGAGAGAGATGAAGATAATCAGATGATTGTCATTGCCTTGGTTTTGAACATTGGGCTCACTGTTACTCTCTCACTCTCTTTCTCTCTCTCATTTACTAGAGTTTGAGGTTTTCACTTGTATTCAAGTGCATTCAGGAGGCGGAAAGGAGGAGAATTGATGAAGATGGAGGAGGATGCAAAAAAAGATGATGATGTAAGGGAAATACCATAGATATTGTTTGTGTGTAGTTATTACACAATTTGGATGATAATACAAGGAAGAGGAGGTAAAAGTATTAACTACTGAGAGAGAGAAGGAGAGAGAGAGAGAGAGTTTTTTTGGTTCTGTCTTTTTCTCATCATCCTCATCATCTTCCAGATCCTCTGATATTCAAGGAGCGGGAAAAAAAAGTAAACACATGTAAATGTATATCATGATCATCATCTTCCTCTCTCGTTAATTGTTATGATTATATTGCTCAATACAATACAAATAGTTTCACTGTTTGTGATGATGAAGATGATAAATTTCATCAGACAACCGTTACTAATAAACTGATGATGATAATAATAAAATAAGTTTTGTTTCTTGTATATTTGTTTGTTTCTTGGTTTATCCCAATCAACTTTTAGCTTATATTTTTATATATTCATTTGCAGTGTTAATGTTTAACAACAATTAACTCATTTTATTGATTATCATTAGTTTATTTTATCAGATTAACTTGATTTGTTTATAATCAACACTCACACAATTAACTATTTTTGTTTTCTCCTTGGATTTGTTTCTGGTTTACAAATATAACCAGATACCCGATTTACCACCTCAAGTGATTAAATATAACAATTTAAAGTAAATCAATTGATTTATCTCTTTCTATTGATTAACAATAATCATGATTATCATCATGTTAATGTAACTCATTCATTTCAATGGTATAATCATCATTAGTAATGGATACAATATCTTAATGATGATGGTCAAGCTTGGACACATATAATATGTATAAGATTTTCATGATAAATTGTTTCTAATATGAAACAATAATTTAATTCATAATATCAACGGTTAATGATTATCATTAGATGAGTACAGAAATGTAATAAATATATTTACAATCAGGTGTTGGTCAGTTTTACAAAATGAATGCTAATAGTGACCATAGTGATATTTATGACTCAGATATTATCATCATTGATTATATTATCATTCAATAGTATTCATGTAATTTAATACAAAAGGATGAGGATGATGAGGTAGAGGAAGAGGTAACTAAATCATGGTTAAGGTGTTAAGGATTAAGGTTAAGGTTATTATTATTTCTGGTGAGAGGATTAACCAGAGAGAGTGAGAGAGACAGATAGTAATATATGGCTCCCTGCTGATTAAATGATGAGAGGAGTGAGGGGATAAGATGATGAAAGATATTATATAATGATGATAACAAAATCATCATCATGTTAGTTTATTTTATTATTTTACTTTTTTTTTGATTAACATGAGTGTGTGAGTGGCATTGAGATGATGATGATGATGATGATGATTATATGATTATCATCATCATGATTAGATGAATATATTTTTACCATGTATCCGTTTTGTCTGAATTTGTGTGTGTGTGTATGTTTCATGGAAACGGAAATCCCTCAACTCTTCTTGTTTTATTCTTGCCTTATACATTTATAAGGAACACTGTCCATGTTATTATCATCAGAATGATGATAAGGAAGATTGGAAGAAAAATTCTGAGTAAATTCAATGATATATTTTGTTGGACTTGTCACCAAACTCTTGACATTATTAACAGAAAGATTGAGAGAGAGAGTGAGAGTGAGAGATAAATCCAATCTCCAAGAAATTTAGATTAACATTTCGGTGTTAGTGTCATTGTTTATTGTAGATTATTGGGTGGACACTAACTGACCAGTCATCTCTAAGAGGTTAGAATCTTTTACTAGTCTTTTAATGTCTCATATAAGATTGAAGGGTTTGTCATCTTATTTTTTTTTTCTCTCTCTCATCTTATTTTGATTGAATTTCCGAGGCACTCGAATTTCTTGAATCATCAAACATGGCAAAATATCTAAGTGAATGATTCATTTTGACCAGATAGATAGATAGTGAGACTTACACATTTAATAGCGGAATAATAATGAAGAGAAATGATTAACTTACCTAAAATTTTAAGATAAACGACAAAATTTCTAGTCCGTTCTTTCTTGAAGTCAACGCGACACCGATACTCACCGGCGTCGTCTTCTTGTAATTGTTCAAGGGAAAAGGTTGCTGGACGTCGGTCAATGTTCATATAAGACCGAGAGTTGAGAATATCATTTGATGCATGTCGAGCTTGGTCAAGTTTACCCTTTCGAGCATCCAAACTATTGGACACACGGAACAAGAGACACAACAAAGAAACACAAAAATATTCACAAGAAACGCACATGATGATGAACATGGTGTAAGGTGATGCGGATCATGATGATAGGGGGAGGAAGAGAGAGAGAGAGAGATATTGATAAATGAAAAGAGATTTGAAATTTAAATCCATTGGTATGAGTGAGGATAATCAAGGTTAATCCATTAAAATTTTACATATCATTGCAAAAGATTTACCTGTAAATTGGTGTTGTTGATTCATCTTTGTACCAGAGGATTAGCGACACCGCATCATCCGTTGTGGGTGGGGTGATGTTACAGGGTAGGGAAACTTTACCACCGGCTACTCCGATTAAATTTTCCACTGTTTCTGTTGTACTTAAAGTTGATGGTAATAAATTGATGAGGAGACACAATAAACACCACACACTAAGTAGGAACATAATTGTAGCTCAATTTATTATTTTATTTGTATTTATATCCAACTGGAGGGTCACACATAAAGAAATACACAAACTAACTGTTAACTTACAGAAGCTAAACTAACAACTGATGGAACAAAATTGGAAAAAAGAAAAGAGAAAAAAAAAAGTTTTCTTCTAATTACCAAATTCGCCGCCAGGTCTCTCTTCAATCGAATCCAATGTTAATCTAACGTAGAAACTATCGCCATCTAGGAGAGTTCATTTGAAATGATTTTCGATTTTTCGAAAAAAATTTTTTTCTTTTCTCTTTCAAATTGTTTCACTTTTATTACGAAAAATAATGGAAGAAACAATTATATAAACTACAAGAATAATAAATTTTCTTCTTTTTCTGTTGCCTTGTATTTGATTAGAAAAAGACAACTGTGTCTGTTGAGTTTTAATTTTCATCTATCGATTGTAACTAGAAACCGATTAAGTTGTTAATCTATTGATTAGATGATTACAATTGATTGTTAACTTTTTTTTCTTTATCACAGATCCAAGTGAAAAGAGAATCTCTCTTGACAATTGGAGTTATCGTTCAAAAGGTGACGCTCAGAGTTTCATGTGAACATGAGGGAAGATGATGAAGATGAAGATGGAGTGGGAGTGATAATGTGATGATAAAGTTTTCTAGGCCAAGAGAGAGAGAGAAAGAGAGAGAGAGAGAAAGTACAAAAAGAGAGGGAAAATGTAACAACAAGTAAGACAATTTTATCTTCATCATCATCATCTATTGTTAACCAACAGGTAAGAGGAAAGAAGATAAAACTTGATGAAGATAAAGAAGAAGAGAAAAAAAAATTTTTCATCTTCATTTTATCATCTCAATGATTTTTTGTTCCTTGTCAGTATTTACCATGCGCTCTCATTATCTACCTTTATCATCTCTTACTTTCTCTCTTTCTTTTCATACACTTACATCTTCATCCTCATCTAATCAACATCATCAATTTGCTATCAACTTTATACTCATATGATGTAACTACAATTATCTAATCATCTTCATGTCCTTTCAATACAATAACAAAGATTATCAATTAATCCTTTTACTTCCGCTTCCTTTATTTGATAATCTCAAAAGTCAAATTTCAAATATCAAATGTTAATCAACAAAAACAAGCAACATCAAGTTAATCACCTGAAAAGTTAATTGTTTATTTGTCTCCTTTAAGTGATTTTGACACTTTGTTTTAATCGTTTCACTTTGACTCAGTTATATGTGATTAGGATTAACACTAATCCATTATGGATAATCCGGAAAATTTGGTTAGTAAATTGCGATTAACTCAATTGTTTCATCGTATGCATCCATCTTTATTACAATTAATTTGTAAACACTCAATTGTTGAGAGACTCGATAAATCAGTTGTTGGTAAGTGATTTTAAATTTTACAATTAAAGCAACAAAATTAATATAATTAACTGATTCATTTGTCTTTACCAATCACAATCAATCATAATCAATAACAATTTGAATCAATTTGCTAACTGAACATTGAATCAAATGAAATTAAAAGATAATCAATTACCTTTTATTTGGTTATTGTTTGTGGGCTAGTTGATTAATATAATTAAGACTAATCAATAATCAATTAATCATTGGTGATTAGCAAAGTGAATCAAGTTAATTGGATTATGCAATCGAAACGATAATCAAATTTAATTGATTGAAATTAAGACTAAAAGTGTTTAGAGTTCATTTTTTATGTTGGAAGATTTTTCTTAAAATTTTATCAACTCTAACATTTATCTTCATCTTCATCTTCATCTTTTCCTTTTCCTTTTCCTTTTTTTTTCATTTCATCTTATCCATTGTTATCAATTCTTATTGATTAATCATGATGATGATGAAATTAGTTTTCAGGCAAGGTGATAAAGCTCACAATTGGTATGCTGTTGTCAATGGATCTCTTGATGTTCAAGTTATTTCAACCAAATCAAAGGTAAAGATAAATAATAACCTTTATTCCGACATCATTTCCGTTTCCAGTTTCCATGAAACAATAAAGAGACACGTAGATTTCATATGATGATACCTTTGATCAATTGATCAGCAAGTACATTAAGGGACATTAATAATGATAACAAGCAAGTCTAATGGTTCGTCTTGATGATTATAATTGCAAATTCAATGATTAAGAGTCAATATTTTATCGAAATGCAAGAAATTGGGAAAAAAATGAAACATGATAACATTGACAAGATTGAAATTGTTTTCCTCATGAACAGTCTGAACTTATTCAACCTCATGAATTGGTTGAAATTTAATTGCGATTCCTATTTTCATGGTAACATCGTTTAATTGAACTCGTTGGAGTTTAACTTAAGAAAATGTTTAATCCTCCTTAAGTTTAAGTTATAATGATAAAGCCGATAAGCTAATCTCAAGTTTCCAACTCTTGAATTTGTGTTGATTTTCATGATCGATATCGAAAAGAAAATTGAGTTTGATAAAGTAAAAAGAATTGAAGAAGAAGAAGGAGAAAAAAAGTTCTGAGCGAATTCAAAGGAAAAACCATGAAATCAATGAACTTAAGCTTCTCATCTTTTCTCATTTATCTTGAGTTGGTTCTTAAAGAATCATGAAGATGATGATGATTATCTTGTTTTCTTGGATGCAAATGATTCCAGTTCATCTGGAAATTATTATTCACCATTATGATGATTATCTACATTGAACTTTATTCAGAGCTCTGAACCATGTTCATTAGGAATTAGCTTATAATGATGATTATTAAATAAGGAATGATGAAAATTTCATTGTTAAATTGGGTTATCATGAGACCTTTTTAAACCCTTAGGGTGAAATTTTTGAAAACTTTTCCGCATCATTATCATGATATTTTTATTATTATCATCAGGGAGTCACAAATGATAAACATTGCAAATTTTTTGCTACCTTTACTTGATGATAATGATTCTGATTGTTGAATGAAATATTCATGATGATAACATTTCCTATGGACACAGGTAAATGTATCATGTATCTAAATGAATATCTTGCCTTTAGCATTTATCTTTTCATGTAATTCTGATCATTTTTGGCTCATGAATTAAAGCATATTAATCATGATGGATTCAAGAATTTTTCATCACTCATGATAACTTTCAACTCTCTCAAAGCTGAATAACTGTAAAAGTTTCATCTCTTGATAACTCGAGGGTTAATTTGATTAAATTGTTTCTTTTTGTTTTGTTTTCTTCTTGATTTTCAATCCTAAATTATGAACAATTTGATTACTTTTTTAATGGTTGATTGTTTGTGCTTGCAATCAAATTTATTTCTTGTATCATTATTATTATTATCATCTGACAATCAACAATTAAGCTCTGACAATTTAGTATGATTGTCATTTATTTACCTTACGATTGGTTAAACTAAATCAATTTATAACCTGAAGCAATTTGTGCTCAACAAAATGTAATCCTAATTGTTGGTAAAAGTTTAATTAACTATTAACTGTATCAACTATTAGAGTTAGATGAAAATGTAACGATAAATTTAATAATTAATCAAGTTAATTACAATTGATTTTTAGAAGGGTGTTAATCATTAGCATATTAATAATCACTAATGGTTAACAATCAATTTTAATTAATACACCCAAAAGTTTAGTGCAATTTGATTGGTATAAATGTCAACAACAATTAACAGACTAGAAATTTAATCCAATCATTAAATTGTTTAACATGAAACTGAATTAACCGCCTCTGTTGATGATATTGAAATTTAATTATCATATTATTATTATCCTGACGTAATCAGTTAATCAGATCAATTGTTAATCAGTGTAACAATCAAGAAACACAATCAACAATTTAAACTGAAAGTACATCTCAAGTTGAATTAGTTTTAACCAACCAAATGCAATCAAATTAAAACAACAACAACAACAATCAGAGTAATCAATCAATTACAATAAATGATCAACGTGTACAATTAATTTTAATCCTGAGTCGCAATTAATTTACAATCAAGAATAAACCAACAACAACAAAGGTAATTTTATTAAACAAATTGACAGAATGACAATCAAATTTATTTAAATGAGTGTGATGTTAATTATAATGTTAAAAGTGACAATTAACATTCATTTTGATTAGTGAAAATTTAATTGTGCTCAATGTTAATCACAATTAGATTATGTTGACCAAAAGGAAAGCAATTTACTGGGTCAATGGGAATAATAATGTTACTTCAAAGGATCCAAAGGTAATATTTACAATTTTGTTTTCTCTTCCTATTCTTGATTAAATCTTGTTGACCATCTCCATCCATCTTGACCAACACTACTCTCATAGACTGACCAATACTTTGCTCACAGTATTATAATAGGAAACAATATATATTAATATTGACAGGGAATTGAATAGACTTGAACCTGATTTTTATATTGAAATTGAACTTTTACCATGAAGAGGGTCAGTTGATGATAATGATGATGATGAAGATGTGTTGATCTCTATTGGTCATCTCTTGACCCTAAACCTCTTGATCTAAATTTCATTTTGTTCACAGTTCTCTCATTATTAATATTAACTGAGGAAAAGTAAATTAACCTCAATCTTTGTTGGACCAGAAACAAAAGGGAACAAAAAGGAAACGGAAATTGACATGGAAAAACTTTCAAAATTATCTATTGTTTGGTAGATTTTTAATTTCAATTCTTATTCAAGGGATAATCAGAGTTTTAATTGTTCTGTTAATTAGAGAAAAAATAGTTTCAAATGATAGAAAAGGGATCAAGGTAACTTTGAATTCTAGGTTTACCTGAGTGAATGAATTTCCATCATGATTATTCAGCTGAATTTTTTTCTCTATCTCTTTCTGTTTATTCAACGGTTTCAGCTACTTTTTTTTGCTGTTTTATCGTTTAAATTGTTGATGATTAACTTTTGATTGTCATCATCATGATGATTTAATTTGTTTATTTATATCAAACAATTTGAATTACATTATATTCAAGCTTGACAGTTGATGAATTAAGATCAATAGTTATCCCATGAAATTCAAGTTGGAAAGTAAAAGAATCACAATTTCTGAGCAAAATCAACAATTAAAGTGACAATTAGATTATTTTTTATTGTTTCTATTGATTCTAATTACTAATTGTTGTATTGATTTAAACAATTAGAGTAAAACTTTCGAATCCTTGTAAATGGTTTTAATTTGATTACGTTTAATCATTTGTTTCATCAATGATTTGATTGTTTGATTCACCAATTGTGTTAATTAAGGTCCATTAATTGATTCATGTTAACAATTTAAGCTAATTTAAAATGAACAAATTGGGTTGATCAGTTATTAGGAATTTAGATAATAATGGTAAGGGAACAATTTAAATTGGATTGAGAATCAAGTTAAATACATAGAGGTTCATGTTGAACGATCATGTTTCAAAAGTTCTGATTCAGGTTCATGAGAAAGTTGATTATTGAACTTTACCATGAAGTTGACTTTTCCATCTCCTTTCCTGAGCGGTTTTTTTTCCTTTTCATGATATGTTCAAATATTGAATATTCTGAATTGTGAAGAAGAAAATTTTTGCATGAAATTCTGAAAGAAATGATGGAAAAGTCATGAAAGATTGAAACTTTTCCATTTCCATCAGAATTTTATCTTCAATTCTAATGGAAAACTTTTCTTCTTTATTTCTTTCCACAAGTTGACTCATCATCTTTCATTTTCTTTGGGTCAAAATGATTCAGAATCTTTACCATGAAATTTTCTTTCCACAAGATCGATTCAGCAAAATGAATCATTGACTGAACCAATTTTTCCTGAAAATACTATGATAAACATGGTAAATTGTCATTGATGATTGATTTAATTGGTTTACTATTGATTGACGTAAATTGATCAAACTAATCAGTTGATAATAAAGAATCTCAATAATCATGAATGTGAAAGAATTTATCTTCTATCATGAATTCTTATTGTTCTAATCATTCAGATAAAAATAAATCGCCTACGAATTTAATATGAATAAATCTCTATATTTAGAACTTAAATCTGATAAGTTTAATGGAAAACTATTTACATGTGAATTAGATGGTAAGTTCATCTTTAATCTGAATCATGATTCATGGTGATCATGATTCTATTACATGAAGATATGGAACTTATGAAAAGTTTATTGAGAAAAAAAAACACAGTTTGAACCTTAGAAGGTCAGAATAAAAAATAAAAAGAGAAAAGAAAAAAATAAATTCGATAAAATTAGTTATCATGGTTTTCTTCATGACGATGAGCTCGATGCTTTCAGAATCGTTGCAATATTCAGATTTTCAGTTAAATATTGACACAAATCGAGATTTCTATTATTTACTCTCTCATTTTTTTTTTCGAAGAAACTTTTTTTCTTTTCTTTTTTCTTCTCTTTCGAATATACAAAAAATTCGAAAAGTTCTAAAATTTCCTGTGTATACATTAAACATTCAATTCGCTTCACAAGGTAACAATCTCCTCTCTTATTATTAGTCTCTGGAAGTGATTCCATTATTAGCTCAACATTCAACTGAATAATTGGGTTAGAATATTTTTTTTTAATTCTTCAATTTAGTAAATCATCAAGATGATTTAATGTTTCTAATCCGATAACTTTACAACATATTTTAACAATATTTGTTTAAAATGATTAGCAAACCATAATCCAACTAATCATCTTGAATAGAAATCAGAAATTCAATTAAGAAAATCATGAAAAGTTCATAAAAAAAGATTTGAAAGTTGGTATCGTGATGAAATTTTGGTTTATTGATTAACTTCATTAACGAGATTTAGATGACAAAATCATCATGATGATACTTATATATTAATAAGATTCATTACGATGAGATAATTTAATCATTAGAAGTAGTGATTAATTAATAAATTCACTGGAAAGGTTATTCATTATTAACCTCAGAATTATTATCAATTTAACCTTTTACCTTTTTCTCGCCCATTGAAACAGGAAGTGGTCACTCTTTGTACTCTGGGCGTTGGAACGGGATTCGGTGAATCTGTGTTGACAGGTAAACCTCATTCAGTTTCGGTGATAACCAATGAACCATGTACCTTATTGCGAGTTCGTCGAGATGAATTCCAAGAAATCTGGGAAGGTAATTCTCACCTGATGGCGGACATTGTTACCCCGCTGGTGGGTCTTCGGTGCTTGAAAACCGCTTCCTTTAATAGATCTCTAAGTATTCAGGAAGAAACAAAAGCAACAGCAAATTCTGTACTTAATCCAGTTTATGATAATAATTCGACAAATGGGACTAATAATAATGTTAATAATCTGAACAACACCAACAACAGGAAAAGTAATTCAACTCAGAAAAACAATTCCCTTGATAATTTATCAGATCGATTCAAGTCTACTGAATGGGTAAGTATTGGTCAACATGAATTCAGCAAGATATTATAGTTCACCACCAAGAGAAAAAAAATTATCATCATTTTATCATCATCTCTCTCTCTCTCTCTCTCTCTCTCTCTCTCTCTCTCTCTCTCTCTCTCTCTCTCAGTAAGTGTATCTGTGTCCATGGTAGTTTTTATTTCACTCCATGGTAATGAAAAAATAAACCTAATAACTTTATCTCAGTCAAAGGTAAATGTTCATGGGAACGAAGAAAGAGAGAGAGAGAGAGAGATAAGTAATAATAGTTGTTTCGAACTCATGTTGGAACTTATTACTCTGGAACTTTTTATTCTCATCTCTTCATCATCTTCAGCTACTTTATTTTTCTCATGAGCTAGAATCTTCCTTCTCTCTCACTCTCTTTTCCTCTTCTTCCAGAACTTCATCATGAGCCTTACCTGAACTTTTCCTCCTTCAACCATTAATATCTAACATCTTGAAACTTTTTTTATTATTACTCATTGGCTCTCATTCATTGCAATCTGATTACTTAGAAGTTTTTTTATCTCTTCCTCTTTATTATCTTGATCATTATTTTATTGTTTCTCACAATCTGAATCAGATTCCATGATGATAGTTGTTCCCTCCCTCTACATCTCTCTCTCTCTCTCTCTCTCTCGCTCTCTCCATGATTAGCACAGTTTCATGTGTCTCTTTTTTTTCACCACCATTATCATGATATTTTATGGATTCTGTAGATTCTAAAGATATTATCGATTCACCTGTAAGTACAGTAATACTGGTAACCTTATACAATAGACATTGTTGATTATTCAAATTGTTTTGTTAGTTTTGTTTACTCAATAGTGTTCATTGTGTAGCCATTTAATTTAATCTTTATCATGATTACTTTGATTTATACAATGAAATTTTCAGTTAATCACATTGCATTTTAATCAGATTTAGAGAATTAAATTAGGTTAATACAATCAGTTGGTTATAATATTATTTTTAGTTTCCATTGGAAACTAGTTTTCAACTCAATCAATTGATAGACTGATATTGGTGTTAATTAATTGAAATAATCATGTTGATTGTTGAATGAAAAGTTGTTACATTATCAAGGTAAACATTAAAGTCTTCAGCTTAACTCAGCATCTTTTTTATACCCTCATGTTAATCTCAACTGAATTTCATCTTCCTCCTATGCCCACCTACACTTGAGTGATGAGGATGAAGATAAAGATGATGATAAGGATGATGATGATGATGATGATGATGATGGTGGCGGTGGTGGTGGTGGGAAGAGGTGGATAAGAGCAAATTTCCCATTGATTTCCCTTGAGGTGAGTATCTTAAGGTAAAAGATGCAATGTCGAAAAGTTTATCTTCCTTTACCTTGGCTTCTCATCATCATCATCATCATCATCAGGTATGAGTGAATCTCTCATCACTGTCTCTCCATCAGAGATACTTACTTGCCTTTTGTCATCTTCCATCATCATTTATCTTCATCTTAATCTTCATCAATTTCATCCCTTATCTAATTATCTTCATCTTGTATTAAGTAAATCCTTTTGCATACCTTGCATTAAATTATTACCTGTCCTTGGATAATAATGATAATTTATTGCAATCTAATCAATTATTTATCATCATCATAACTCAATCCCTGATTATCATGAATTAAATTCAAGATTCAACTCAATCTCGATAATTTCATTTGTTGATTCATTCAAATTGTTATACTTTTATTAGGGGGGAAAAAAGGTTAAAACAATTCAATTTGATTGCTTCTTCTTTTTTTTTTAATCAATAACATTTATCATCATGAATGCTAAATAATCATCATGTTGAACATGAATTCAACTGTTGATTTGTGTTTATATGCTTTCAATTGTATTCTTGTTGAATTAATTTACATGAGAATACAAGATGGAGGATAAGAAAGGAAAATCTTATATTCAGAACTTTTTCCCTGCATCATCATGTCAGAATCTGAATTTCTAATTTTCTTGTCATGTTATTTTTTTGTTGTTACTTGAACATTGATTGTTATCAGAATTACAACAGAAAATAACAGCAAAAATTTAACCAGCGATTAGATAATCAACTGGGTTAAATGCTTGAAGCGTGATCAATGAATTTTCAACAATCAACAAATTGTTTACTCGCCTATTTGATTATTCAAATTTTATGTTGATCTTTGTTGATATTTACATGATTTCGGGTAAAAGTTAATCGGTTTAAATTGTTTTCTCATCGTATTTCAACTGTAATTAAATTGCTCTGGTATACAAATTGTTCAATCACAATTAACTTTTTTTTTCTCATCACAATCAATTGCAATTAACTCTCTTTGGGGACTTTGAAGATTATAATTGAATTTGGAAATTAATAAAAACATTCAATTAGAAAAAGGTGAATTATAATTGCTTCAGGAATAAGTTTAATCATTAACAATTCACAAATCTAATTATCTTTGTCATTAAATTTGATTGCAATTTTCACAAACAATTAGCATATTTAATTGTTAGTAGACTTGATTAATCAGATTCTAGATTTTACCAGCAATTAACCAATGAGATTATTTTTTTGTTTTCATTAATCCATTTGATTTGTACTAATGAAAACATTGGTGATGATTGTGTTTAAATCACAATTAGCTAATTATTACCTCGATAATGTTTTGTTAATTAGATGAAAAATTGAAGCTTAATAGTGATATCGGAAATGATTAGTTGATTGTTACATATTTGTGTATCTTGGTTTGATAAATATTGGCTTTGGAAATGAACTTTGGTTGATGATGATATGATTTTCTTGGTTAACCAGAATCTAATTAGCTGTTGATTGTTGGGATTTTGATTGTAATGATTTATTTTTCTCTTTTTTTTTGTTTTAATTGGTCAATAATAGGATGGACCAATTGATCTTAATTTGATTGGTAAAATTTTCCATCATCTAATTATCACTTTTGATCCAAATATGATTCGAGATCGTAAAGATAATCCAAGTGGAATTTTTCATCGAAACTGTTTAATTGGATCAGAATTGGTTGACTGGATGCTAAGATCTTCCATGGTAACACTTAAACATATTCATTCAAGAGGTCAAGCGGCGACCATGTTTCATGTCCTTCTCGAAGCGGGTATACTGACCTCTACTACTGGAGAGCAACAGTTTTGGGATAAATTTATTTTCTACCGATTTAAAGTTGATTGTGTTGATATTGATGAAGGAAACAGTAGTGGTGTTGATGCTGAAAGCTCATGGAATGGTCAACACTTGGACAGGGAATTAGTTGACCTATTGAATGATAAAAAGCAGAGAGATATTATTCTTGGCCAATGTTTAGATATTTTGGATTCCCTGGCACCGGAAGCAAATTTCAGGTTAATTGGGTCAAAAAGAGCCTCAGATCGGACACCGGAAGAGGTGGACTTTGTCTATGATGAACTGATGCACATTAAAGCCTTATCTCACCTTGGAAATTCAGTTCGTAAGGAATTGGCTTCCGTTATTGCTTATGAAAAACACTCAAGAAAAGGAACCGTATGTAAGTAAATCGAGAGATTAATTTTTCCATTTCCGTATTAATCCTAATGTAATGAATAAGAACAATGGTGATATTCAATCGAAGAATATAAACTCAATTAGAATTGAAATTATTCCTTTGTTATTCTTTGTTATTCTTTGATAATCTTTACTTTGATTCCTTGCGAAAGATTTTCAGTTCAGTTTGGAATAAGAATTCGATTGATGATATTTATATTCATATGAAGATAAAATTCTGAATGAGGAAAAAAAATATCGATGATGGTTGAAAGATAATCTGATTATCTCTTTGCCATCAATCTAATCTTAAATTCTGATCCCATGGTATCAATAACTTAATCTCAATCTGAAAATTTTGTTCTTACTTTTTTTGGCTCCAGATTAACTCATGAAATTAATTGATTGTTGATCTCTGTTCTTATGTCAATTTCACCTCAGAATGAGACAGGGGATGGAAAGGAAAAAGTTGTGCTTCAAATCAGGATATTCATTATTCAATGAGGTTCTTTGTAAAGTAATGATATTATTCAGATTTCAATTCTGTTTAGTATCATGAAGATTCATTTCTGTAAAAACAAACATCAATTTTGATCTAAACGAAAAGGTTCAAAACTATATCATGAAAAATCATCAACATGTCACGTAAGAAATGAACTGATGAAAATTCATGAGAGTAAAAGAAAAAAAATGAAAAGTTCTGATGGAAAAAAAAGTTCCAACTTAATATTTACATGGGAGTGAAGATCATGAATAACTCAATTATTATGAGAAAAGTGTAAACTCAGGGTGGAGATTAATAATGACTCGAATCTAATTGTGATTAAGTGAATAATCACCATCATGGTGGTGAGAAATTAACCAGAACAGAAACATAAGTAACCTTTATTCAGAAGTTATCTATTTGTTTACCATCATGAAACTTGGAATGGTGAATATTGTGAATAATATTCAATTCTTAGCGAAAGAGATTCACAATTTTTAGATGAAATTTGTTTCTTTTTTTTTCTTTTTCCATGAGATTTGAAGTTCCATTTTACTGATGAACAAGACTTGAACTTTTCTCTTTTTTATTTTCTTTCTCTCGTTTATTCATTTACTATTCTATCATGAAGTCAATTGAATTCACCATGAAGACTATATTGGTGAATGGAAATTCCAAAAAAAAGGTTCAAGTTTCCCTTGAGAATTGTATGAGTGTGTTATTATTAGATAATAATCAGACTGAAAAGTTATGTTAATTTTATCGAATCATCTTGAATTTGAACTTCCAGAATTTCCTTCCTTTTCACCATGAACTGAGGAATCCAAAGCATCATGTGATTGATTTGATCCAATGAATCAATCCAGCCTACATGAACTTACGCCTTAAAGGCAATTGATTGTCAGGTAATCATTGAAATTGAATATTCAAGATTTTTTTTTCTCCTCGACTGTGAATTTTTGTCATCAGAACTTTTTTTCTCTCGAAATTTTTTTACTCACTTTTCTATTCACTCAGAAACATTTTCTCTTTCATCTTCTCAAAATAATCATTTCAATGACCTATTGAGCTGCTTTTATATTCTCTCAATGATTTATCTTGATGAGATTTTAGTTTTTCTCTCAATAATATCAATATTTACAGAACTGATAACAATATCATGGGAGTGAAAATGAAGATTCGACAACAACGAAAAAAATCCATTCGATTCTGTTTTTTTTTCTACACTCGAAAGGTTCAAGAGATTTCCCATTGAAAGGATGATAGTTTTTTCTGCTCTCTATTAATATCACGAATTGTTATTATTAGTTTTCCATCAATTTCGATGATAAATACTGATCATCATCACCATGAATTCATTTACCTGATGGAAATGTAATCTCAATGTTATGAGAAAAGAGAAACAATTTCTGAGATATTTTTTTTATCAATCTTTCTCTCTCTCTCTCTCTCTTGTTCATGATGACAAAATGTCATTTGTATCTGTTAATGGTCATCATGGTCATCATGCTCCATGATAAGTTCCTATTCATGAAGAGTTTTCTTTTTTTTCATTCCATCAATTGATTGATTATTGATTCGTCTTTATCTCTAAGTGTTCAATCAGGGTGATCCTGGAAAAAGTTGGTACATTATCCTGAAAGGAACCGTTAATGTGGTCATTGTGGGTAAGGGTGTGGTCTGTAATCTTTGCGAGGGCGATGATTTTGGTAAACTTGCTTTGGTGAACGATGCCCCGAGGGCTGCAACCATAGTGACCAATGAAGATAACTGTCAATTCTTGAGAGTAGACAAAGATGATTTTAACAGAATTTTAAGAGATGTTGAAGCAAATACTGTCCATCTAAAGGAACATGGTAGAGATGTTTTATTATTACGAAAAATGGTTCCAAAGATCATCCAATCAACTGGTCAATCGATTAATAAATCAGTAACGAATAACAATCAACAACAATCGTCTAATGGTCATTTCGCCTCATCGGTTACTCATTCAAAATTTGTCTCTAGATTTTTACTCTCATCATTATCACCCTCACCTTCACCTTTACCCTCTGCTTCAGCCTCGGTCACAGTTCCGGTCAATCATTACTCTTCCCATTATAAGTACATGGTATTAGCTGGTACACCTGAGAAAATGTTGGAACACCTTTTAGAGACTCGAATTGATGTGACCTCATCGGCTCGAGAAATGGTTTCCAATGTTTTCAACAAACGACCAGGAAACGGAAACTCAACCAATACTTTAACCCTTGAAAATCTCTCAGGAGTTGACACTTTTCTTGAAGATTTTATATTGACTCATATAATTTTTTTACCTGTTCACCTTTTGTGTGTTTACCTGTTGAAACATTACAGAATTGATCTACTCAATACCCGACAAGAGAAGGAGTTTATCATTGCCTCCAAGAAACGGGTCATCAGGTTTACCAAAATTTGGTTCACCCTGATATCGGATGCACTTTACATAGATGATTATGTAATGAGTTACCTGGATGAACTTATTAACCTGTCCAAAAATGATTCTCCCAAATTTGATAATCAATTGATTGAAGAGTTAACCCTTTTGGAGGGTATTCAGTTTGAAAGGAAACGCTGGCAAGATGCAATGTCAACTCGAGGTATTCAAAAGTACAAATCAGATTTACCTGGACCAATACGTCGTATGTCAACTAACGGGATCACCGATAATCTAATTGGAATCGGTGATGATCATAATCATCAAAAAAATAATCGTAATCACGATGATTGGAACACAATTAACAATCATTATCAATCAATTCAACCCACAGATGAAAGTAAGTTGATTGTATCCTCTGATAACTTTGATTGCTCATGATAATCACAATTAAACCATTTCAATTGTAACTAATACTTAATTCATGTACAGTTAACTGTATTTGATTGTAATTCAATGGTTGAGATTATTTTATTAATAGAATTGATATTAATTCCTAGTGAGTGAGTTAATCGAGAGATGAGTAATTATCATCTTATTACAATCATTTCAAGTTTAATCAATGGTGAGAATGATGATGATTTCATGGTAATCAATTGTTATCCTCTTGAATCAGAATCCATGATTATCTATTGAACATTAATATGGAAAAAAAACTTTTTACTCAACTTGTATCATTATTAATATACAAGGAACATGAGTTTTCATTGTGATTATTTCATGAAGATAATATTCAAATGAAGCTTGATGAACAATAATGAAAAGGAAAAACAATTCCATGATGATGATAATGATGATGATGATGATGATGATGATAATGTTAATATGTATATAAATATTGTAATATGAATATGTGTGTATAAATAAATGTTGAGGATTTTCAGAAATATGAATATTTCATTAGATGAAAAAACTATTATTATGAATATTCAATGGTGATGATCATGTTAATCGTAATTGGATTGAATTTTTTGTTGACATTTTTCAACTTCTTTTGGCTCAGTTATTTGCAGGGTTTATTGTGCTGACCATACTTATACTACCTTGAAGATGACCATTGATTCAACCGCAAGAGCTGTTAAAATGTCCGCTGCTGATAAATTGGGATTAAATAAATCTGATGGTGAATTAATTCTGGCTGAGGTTAAATCTTCTGGTGAAAGGGTTTTATTCAGCAATAAGGAAGTCTCAATACAAACTGGACTCTCAGTTAATGGTCGTATTTTTGTCTCACTGATTGACCATATCGATGCACTGACCCCTTTACCGGAACAGGAAGGACCCAAACATGATTCATTTTTCTCAGCTCTAGATGATGTCTCATCTCAGGATATCGCTTGTTACCTTACCTATTACTCGTGGATATTATTTCAAAATGTTCATGAGGTAAATTGGTTGACCATTGGTCAAAGAAAAGTTGATTTAATTTTGATATTCTCTTCTTGTTTCTATTTTTCTCTAGTATGAATTTATCTATCATGTTTTTGGTCGGTCAAATTTCGGTAAAATAACGGCAAATCTTGACCTTTTCCTGAGGCTATTCAATGAAATTCAGTATTGGGTGGTCACTGAAATTGTACTGACCACTAGTGTCTCCAAGAGAGTTCAAATATTGAGAAAGTTTATCAAAGTCGCTGGACTGTAAGTTGATTACGATAACTGTGTTTCTTTTTTATTCCAATCATATCATTTGTTCAAGTGATAACTTTGGAAGAGATAATTATTACAATTAGTTAATTGTGATCTCTTTGCATCTATTTCAGTTGTAAAAATTATCAAAATTTGAGCATTTTTTTCGCCATCACAATGGGACTGTCCAATATCGCCGTGTCACGATTAACGCAAACTTGGGATCGGCTTCCCGCTAAACTGAAACGGACTTTTACCCAATACGAGTCTCTGATTGAACCTTCTCGAAATCATCGAAAGTATCGAGTATATTTGTCGCAACTTGAAGCACCGATAATACCATTTACCCCGTTGATACTCAAAGATATGACCTTTTGCCACGAAGGGAATAAAACTCACATCGATAAAAGTTTAATAAACTTTGAAAAAATGGTAATAACAATTAACTAAAAGACAATCAACCTATTGATCTAATTAAGTGGAAATTCAAATGTCACGTTGAGGAGAAAAAGAGAAGAGAAATTTTTTATTATCGAAATTCTCATTAGTTCTGACAGAATTTTCTTTTTTCAACTTGATTGGAATTTTTTTCTCCATTATAATTGATTAGTTAATATAAAAATCGATTGGAATTTAATTTCTTTTTTTTTTACTTTCTCTCTTCAGGTTATGTTATCACAATCTCTTCAAACTTTCAGATTCTGTCGGAGTAAACAAATGCGATTCGATTCAATGGTCAATGGTTCAGTCGTAATCAATGGAAATAATAATAATCATAATAAAGAATCAAATGGTTCAAGTGATTTAATCAATAATTACAATCCAATTGTTAACAATTTAAGTAAAGGAGTTAATCTTTTCTCGGGTCGGAAAAATTCATTAGTTAAAATTGATCAATATATTAAAGATTTAAAAGTTATTGATAATCAACGTCTTCTAATTCACATATCACATAGTCTAGAAAATAAGAGAACCTAATCAGGTTAATTGTAAGAAATCAAAAATCGAATGCAAATTAATTAAACTGTTATATTTATTCAAATGTAAAACCAATTCTAAAATACAATCAACAATTTAAATCGTTATTTATATTATATATACACATAAATGTAGCACCTTTTAACTTTTATTATGCTGATCAATGATTGTTTAATTTAACAAAATAAAATTTCTAATTTATTAAATGTTTACATTGATTGATATTAATTTAAAATTAATTACGAATTATTATCAATTATTTGAAAAAATTTCCTTTTTCTTTTCAATCGATTTTATTGATGCCAAATGGCTAATGCTTCAAACATTAACTCCAGCGGACTGGAGGCTCTTTCGAGCACTGAACTAACCGCTCAGTTTGGGTTCGTTTAAATATCATGTTTAAATATTAGTGTTTGAATCTTTATGTTTGAATCTTCGTGTTTAAATATACCTGATGTAGGTAAATGTATTAGAGGGTTGACTCATTAATAGATTTGTCCATGAAAATGGTTGTTTGAAACGAAGATGAAAATCGGGTCCAGAGGTAGTTTGACTCATTAGGTTTGTCATGAAGAGAAGGAGAAAAATAAAATTAGGATTTCAATCTTTTCAACAAAAAAATAAGTTTGAGATAGAGAACTTGAGTTGCATCAAATTAACAACAAAACTTACCAATAAACAAAATGGTTGAAGTTATTACGACGCAATAATAGCTCAGTTTTAAGGGCAACAAAGAAAAACACCAAAGCCACTGTCGATCTATCATAATCCTGGTATCAACTTGATCCGTGTAACAAGACGAACAACAATAACACAAAAATTTTAATCTTAAATTCACAGGTAATATCGATCAAATCAAAATTCATCAGGAGCGAAAAAAGTTAAACTTTCCCCAGAACTCATCGATTCGAAAATTTTATTCGCCACTCGTTAGATGGCAGCACACGTCGAAATTAGAATTTAAATTATATTTGAATTCGATTCGCTAGATGGAGCCACTTTACCTTCTTTGTTTTTCTTTTTTTTGTTCGAATTTTTTTCCACCTTTTAATTGTTGACAATTTAAGTTAATCATTGTAATTAATTTAATTACTAATTTAACTTGTATAGTATTTTATTCGTGTGGATTTTGATTGATTGACCTGAAATTAGGAGAATTGAGGCTTGTCTCTATGGGTGGAAATTTGGATAATTTTTGTTAATTGTCTCTCTCTCTCTTAGGTAACCCTTTCAACTTTTACCTGTAAGTAAATTTTGTTAAATTGTTACCATTTAATGGCCTGATTAATGTATAAATTTAATTTCTCTTTAATTGTAACAGATAATCGCTGCTGATATTGGTTTCATGAGAACGAAATTTAGATTCGATTAATAGAAATGATTGACCAGCAATTTGATTTTCTACACTTTTGGTAAGTCAATTATATTTATAAGCTTCTTTTGTGATCTCTTTTTTTTCTTCTTCTTCTCTCTTTCTAATTTTCTCTTTATTCTCTTCTTTCTTTCTCCAGGATAACCATCTCAATCAATTTACGCTGATTGATGAATTAAGATTTATCAACTGATTGATCAACCTTAATCGAGATAACTTGAAATATTTTCTCTCTTTCACCTCATATCAAGAACAGCTCCTTAAACCTAACGTTTAACTGGCCTGCAAGAAGAAAACGTGATTAAGTTTCAATTTTTGTTTCTCTTTCTTCCTCCTCTTCACTTGGAATAACATTGGAAAACATAAGATAATCAATTTCTTTTGTCTCAAAGACACTCACACATATGATACATGTATCATGATGAAAGTAAAGTATTCTATCAATTTTCTCTTTCTGTCCATTATCCAACCTCCTTCTTGCTCCTTCTCTCCATGATGATATTGAATGTGGTCACTTGTTAAGATGATCATCTACACCTGATCTTCTTGCAATCAACTTGAAAATCAATCAACAATTCTTTCTTCATTGATTGATCCAATCAATTTTTTCTGTTTTGATATAACCGTTACTCATTTATTACCTCATTTCTCTTAATTTTCCTTACTCTCTCTCCATCTTTTGGTATCTTCAGATTGGTTATTCTCTTGATCATCGATTTACACAATCAAAGGAAGAAAAGAGTAAAACATGAAACCAGATTTAACAACTAAATGGTAATTCGATTCCAGATTCAGTTCCAAGTTCATATAAAGAAAGAACCAAAAAAAGAAGCGAATTGCAAATCAATGAATCAAAAAAGGAAAAGAAAGAGACTGTAAAAGCTAAAACGAGATTGATGAGTGTACGTAAGTGCGTTAAATCTGTTCAAGGCCATTAAATGACCAGTTGATTACCATTATTAATGTTTCTTGAAATTCTGTTTCAATTTTTTTTCCTTCTCCCAGATCATATCTAATACCTGTGTACAAGAAGATGACAGAAAAATATATTCCCTGGAAATTACATGTAAAATCTTTGTGTCGACTGTCACATTTACACATTACTGGCGATTTATCTGAAAGAGGAAAAGGCTTGAATATCTGGATAACAATCAAATTAGAGCGACAATTGATCAACGTCCAAACTGTCTGAAACTTATTGACAATTTGATCCTTAGTTCAGCTTATCTCTTTCTCTCTCATAAAGATCAGACGGTTATTAAATTAGTATAACTTGAACACCATGAATTACTGTTAACCTAATAGCTAATGATAAATTGTTCTGGAATTCTAATCATCTCAGAATATTTGAGTCTCACAATACAATTTATCCACCAAGTTATCATGATCTTAGAGAGAGATAGAGAGCTACAAAAAAAGACACCCTGAACTCTTGTAACATCAACACCATTTTGGGTAATTTGTTTTCACATGTGATCCATTTATCTGACATCCATTTAACAAATTCAACTAAATAGTTTACAATTTGTGTTTCTTTTTTTTCTCTTCTCAATCAGATATTCATCATCATCTATTGCTAGGATACTAAGGAGCAGCTGATTTCCATAACAGTAGAATTGACATGATTATAGCGGTTGAATTTTGAATCGATTTCACCAGAGGAACCGCCGTTGAAACAAACAATCAACTTATCATTTGGAAATGTTCAATGACTAGACTCAAAAGTTTGAGAATAATGGTTATCCTCAGTGACGATTTCAAGATGATTTTATTATCATTCTTTTTCTTTTCGTCTCCATGAAAATATTATTTTGAGCCTTGGTGGAGATGCGCAGATTTTACTGGATTATTCAAGGTTCAATTACCTCGTAATGGTTATTACAGAATGAAATGTTTACATGTTTCTATTCAGAAACCAGATCAAGATCAGTAGGTGATTATCTTGTCTCTCTTGTTATTTTACTCTTTCTGTTTAATCTTTGTGAAAGTGCATGAGAGAGAGAGAGAGAGAGAGAAAGTGAGACAAGGGCACCATTGATGAACTTGGAAAAAAATCTAATTGGATCATTCAAACAGCTGATTTTCACAAGAGGTTTTGAATTGTCCCATTTTGACGAAATATTAATGAGACAATTCAATTTCAAAGTAGATTCTCAAGCAATAATGAAGACTTTACGATTTTTTTCATCAATTGTTCGAGAGTAAGATTCGATAAGGTTTGATAGGATTCGATTCCATTTTGTGGTTACAATTTAATTTAATGTAAATTTTTCTTTCCAGATCAATTCAAATATTGACCTGGAACTGATTTTTCATCTTTTTTGACTGTTAAAACAAATTCAGAACGATAATCATTGAGAGCCATCTAAATACTTACAATCTCTGGGGATCTTTTATTATTATTCTGTTGATGTTTCTATCATCTCTAACCCAAAAGTCTTGCAGAGAATGCGTAAAGTTGTACCGGTCTTCAATTCTAAATGTAAGTAAAATAGAAAGAGAAAATGATGATAAGGGAGCAAGTTAGAAGGAAAAGAAAAGAGAGACTTTCAGTATTGATGAAATGAGGAAAAGATGAAGAAAAGGTTTCCTCTTTTTTCCTGCAGTATTTTTATATCGACTGTTTAATATTAACGGACTTGGTTGGATAACTCCCACTTCACCTCACCCGTTTCTCTCTCTCTCTCTCTCTCACTCGCATTATCTTCCACTTTCCCTCTACCTCTTGAGACTATAACCGAAGTGACCAGCCGTTGACTCTCCTTTTCCCGCTTCTCTCTCACTCTCTTTCTCTCTCTGTGTTTATCATCACTTTCATCATTTCAAATTCAAATAACAACAACAACCTCACCTTCAAAAAGGTTGAAAATACTGTGCCAACGTTTAACCCTGTTTTTCATGTTCATTGTCAAATTATTACTACACCTAAGGAACCATTTTGCCAATTACTGGATTAACTGTCAATTTATTTGATTACCAATTACCATCAGGATTTATACCAAAATTTTTGGACAATATCTCAACATATCACAAGGAAATACTATTATTTATGTATAAAGACCAACAACAACAACGTAATTATTATTTCAACTTTAACATTAACTTTTCTCTTTCTGGGTCACCTTGTTTATTTTGATTCGCTACCTGACAGAATCAAACGCAACGAAACTCTCAACTTACTTTTTTTCTCTCTCTCTCTCTCTCTCTCTCTCTCTCTTTCGTGAACGTCAATATTTTGGAAACGATTTGAATACGATAATTTCAGGTAAGAGAATATCAAATTCGATTAATATTACTGTTGATTATTTCCAATGAATTTCTCTTTGGGTTTATTATATTTTCTTGTCAGTTTTTGTCTCATCTTCTAGTTTTTATTGCAATTTGGTGATAATCATGACAACACCCTGAGTATGTATAAAATTGAATTTTATCTCTACCTGAGTTTGCCTCATGATTATCTCCAAACAGCCAGAATCGTTCTTCGTCTGATTCTGACCTCCTTCTCCTATGTAAGTTTCCTAAATGATTATTGTTTTTCTCCCTTTTTTTCTCACTCCTAATGGTTTAATCAATTCTCCCTCTTTTCACTCTCACTCTCATTCTACTTTCTAATTGTCTTTGTTGATTTGGTTTCTCTCAATTGACTTTTCCAATTGATTATTTCAATTGAATCCTGTTGTCACTCATTTACCTTACCAACAATTACATTCATTATCCTTTAACTGGATTAACTTAATTGTAAAATTTACCATTGTTATCTAATCCTTTATTTGGGTTATCAGGTTTTCATCTTATCCATATTTAAATCTTATTCATCATTTCTTACTCATCTTATATTTCAAACTTCCCATGAAATTAATACTCACAAAATGTCAAAATAATTAACTTTCATGTTCAGTCTAACATTCAATCCTAAACTAGTTGATCAGTTAATTGATGGTGATGATGATGATTAAATGGTAAACAATCTATGAGTTATTCCCTTTAAATCCTAATACATTTTTCTCAATCCAATGACATTTGATTTCTACCTTCAGTTTATGATTAGAAATTAATTTCCAATTTATCTTGATTGTGATTCTGGTTTTCCTTCAATTTTTACACCATGAATCAAATTAGATTTTAAAAAAATCCCTGATTACCTGTCATCCATTATCTTCAAGGATCTTCCTACATCGTCCATTATCATCATTGTAATTTCATCATCATCATCATCACACTTATCATCTTAATTAGTTTTAAATTTATCTTACCAAAGATCAATCTTGATCAACTTTCTGATATTCATTCAAGGCTGGTCAACAATTAAGGTAATAGTTTGAACAATTTAATTTAATAAACACCAATTTTTCATCATGATCAACTGATTTAAAGTCACGAAATTACAATTAACTGTTCACTTTTTTGATTATGACTTGATTGTTACAATCAATTTGAATATAAACATATTAACGACACGAGGCTGCCACAAGTTAATATGTTTTGTTTTGTATTACCTGTTAATCAAATTACTTTGATTAACAATTAATTTGATTGTTTACCGTTTTTACTGAATGATAAGTTAATTATTGTGTCAATAACATGAAGCTGCAGTTGATTGTTACACGTAAATTCAATTGATTAATTAATTGTGGCTCATTGTATACATTGATATAACTTTTTTTTGAGCCAGAAATCAACTAATTGTTAATCATCAATAGTTTCATTCATATTTCATTGACCTTTTAACTAACTTAATTGATTAATATTATTTATCTCAACTGATTGGACTAGATTTCATGATGTTGATTATGATTAAGAAACATGAAACCCTTTATAGCCAAAATTGATTGATAGTTAAATTGAATTTCCATTAATTGTTCACTTGATTATTATTTAATTTATTGGAACCATGGTGATTAAATAAACCAAAATCTAATCAATGTAAACTTTTATTTTTTTTCCTCCATTGTCACAATTAACTTAATTGTCAACCCTTTTCAATTCCGCCAAGTCGTTTACATTGATTAGCTTGAGGCAAATTTAATTATTACAAAAACATGAACACAATTAGATTTAATTGTGAACAATTTGGTTAGAATCAATTTATCCTCAACAATTTCAACTCAGTTGCTAATATTAAATGATGAACAATTTTTCAATCAAATTGTAATCATTGGAATAATTTTATTCCAAGTTGATTGATTAATTTCATGATTAATTTCATGGCTTCAGATTGATTCATTTATCTCATGAGATTTCATCATGAATCCATGTTAAGAAGCATAAGAAATTAAATGGAAAACTTTTCTAATTGTGATTAATCTGATTACCTCTGGAACTAGAAAAATCCCTTTGTTACAATTAACAATTAATAAACAACTCGAGCCTTGATTAATAGAAGATTTAATTTAAAAAAAAACTAATCATTATATTCAACACAATCAACAAACCCAATCAACACCAAAAGTAATTAAACTGATTGTTGATCAATAATAATAAAAGTGTGCGGTTAGTTTGTTATTATTTTTGTAACCAATTTTAAATTGTTTACACTTGATTAGATTTGGTTTATATTAAATTTGAATGCATGATAAACAATAATCATCATGATCAACAATTAAATGGTTAACAATCAACAATTAATGAATAATGATAATAATAATAATATTGAACAATTAAACAATAACTATTATAATAAAAGTAAAAGTCAAACCTTAATTTTTACCAATGATTGAAAAGTGAAAGTTTTCATATTGGTTGAGATATGTGACAATTATTATTAATATTTAACAATTAACTCGTTCAATTAAATTGTTGATTAAGAATAAGAAGAAGAAAAAAAATCAATTTAATTAAGATGTTAATCACTTTTTTCTCTCTCATCTTATTCAGATAGACCAATGAACTATCAACAGTAGTTGATTATAATTCAAACAATCAAGTTGATTATCCATTCATTGGCCATTAATTGTTTACCTGGATTTTGTTGATTACACCTTTTTTTAAATATAATACAACAATGGATTATGATGATTATGTTTAATCTTGATCCTCTCACGTTCATTGATTTCCGAGTACAATTTAATTCAGTTACATTGTTTACCTTTAAATCATAAAGTTTTTTTTCTCGTGAGATTAATGATTTAATTCAATCTAATTCTTAATCTCATCTTTTTTTGTTCATCAACTTGTGTCACCGATAAACAAAAGAGTTAATTAATTATCTCTCTCTCTCTCTCTCTCTCTCTCTCTCTCTCTCTCTCTCTCTCTCTCTCTCTTAATCTTAATCTTTTTGATTAGCTTAATCTAATACGTTGTAACCTAATTTGCCTCTTGATTGTCGTACCTGATTAACAATTATCACTCAATATCATCATCATGATTAACATCGTCAACTTATATTACTTGTTAATCTTTGATGTTGGTCTTAGATTTTGATTGTTGAGTTAATTGTGATAACTATTTTGAGATAAATTTACTCACAATTTAGCCTAATTGTCAATTAATTTAAACTGTTGTGGTTAATTTAGATCAACCATTTAATTTGTCTTAATCATAAATCTATCAAATTTGTGTGTTATAATATATTTACTTTTCTCATTGGTTAACAATTAATTAATTGTTACCTTTTCCTCAATTTCTTGACCACACTAATCATTTTGACTTTACCTTTGGGCACTCCTAATAGTTTATTAGTTTTAGTTAATTAATTGTTACAATATTAGTTAATTTTTTGTTTTCTCTTGAAAAATTGTTAATCAACTAATTTAATTTAATTGCTTATCCTTAATTTGGTTTAAATTGCCTGATCTTTACCCTCTTGTCTGGTAAAGTAATCATTTCAATCAATCCAATCATTTAACTTGCCCTACAATCACAATTAAGTTTAAATTGTTTCCAAAACCAATATTAATAATATTCAACAATCAATCCTTAATTAGCCAACAGCAATCAACAATTTACCTCTTTTTTTAATTTGATTTGATTCTGTTTAGTTTAAAAAGAAAATTTAATTTTTAATCAAATTGCTCTATTATAAAACATAATCATGTGAGGTCTTAATTACACTCAACAATTAAATCATCACAATCATAACTAATTACGATTAAAAAGTAATAGTGAGAAGATTAAATTATTGACTAACTGTTTCTGCTTAACAATCAATGTAAACGTTTCCGGATTTATTAATAATTACATTGGTTCCAGGTTTTATATTACATTAAATAGTTAATATTGTTTAATGATTGACGAGAAAATTAATCAATCAATAAACTTTACAATTAAATTTATTGGCTCACTGATAATCATTACAAATTAACTGGATTAATTGTTAATTGATGAGAAGTTTTTTCTTATTTCCTTATATTTATGTTTGAATATTTTTCTGTTTCTAGATAAGTAAGTTCATCTCTCTGTCTACTGGTCAACAGCTAACATTGACCTTGGTCAGTAAGAGTAACTGACCAACCCACTTACAAGTCTTAGCTATTTCCTCCCCTCAGGCTATTGATTTTATTTTTAGACATGATGGTCAAGGTTTAGCTCTCTCTTTCCCTGGTCATTGGATATTTCTGGTTAACATTTAAACCAGATTAGGTGAATCAATTGATCTGATTTGATTTCTAATCAGTCTTTGAACCTGATTTAATCTGATAATTAAGACTAATCATGAAAAAGATCACAGCTACCATGAAGTCAATTTGCTTTTTCGTGTTAAATTTTATCATTTTTCTTTGTGGCTCCCGATTGTTGGGATAATTTTGTTTACCGGAAATACTTTAGATGAAGAAGAGGATGTGGGTAAGGATGGAAAAAGAAGATAGTAAATATTTGAAATTCTCTGATGATTTAGATTCCATTGATACTCTCACCGAATCTTAATCATTTTCTATTGGTAAACAATCTACTGCTTCATCATTATTTCTCTCTCGCTCTATCTCTTCCTGTTTTTATTCATTTGACAAGATTCTCGGTATTCATCATGTAAATATTGTGCTGTGTAAGTATTTATATTGATTTTCATTGTTGATCATATTCAGAATGAAACTGATTGAATTGATTCATTGTGACAAATACAGATAAACAGATAAGCTGAAAAGGCTCAACCCAAACTCTCATATCCATAGTGTGTTGTTTATGGTGGTTTTTACATGTGATTGTCATGGATGTGATATTTTTTGCTGGGATAACCCTGAAAATGGATGATAATGAAGGAAGAGGATCAAGATAAGGAAGAGACTCTGCACAATGATGATAATAATAGTACATGATACTGTTAATTGTAGAGAGACTCAGAGAGATGAAGATGGAAAGAGAGAGAGAAAGATGAATGAAATGATTACTTTGATGATGCGGATGAAGATGAAGAGATTGCAATCCATTCATCTTGTATTGCTCTTTTGTCGATGTATCTGATCATCATCATCTTCTTCTTCTTCATACTCTCTTTCCATTTTTTGTTTCTTTCGTTCCTCCTTCTTCTTTGTCTTTCATCTTCCTTATCCTTTCCTACTCCTTCCTCTTCCGTTCCTTTTAAATGATGTTACCAATTTTTTTTTCTCCATCGAACTTTTTTTTCTTCTTCTCAAATGAATTTTGTTTTTCCATTTCAATGTTACCAGAAAAACAACAACCTATCATCAGCTGATAAGTAGTTTCATCATCTCCATCATTATACTTGTCTACTTACATCCTCATCTTTACAATACTAATATATATTTGTCATCCACCCTGACTTTTTATCATTGGAAACCTTTCATTTGAATTGTTATCATCTTTCACAGGGAAACAATTCAATGTTAATCACAGGGTGGTGATAGTTGATTGTTGCTGTAAAATTTCAAGACACAATTACAATCGCAATCAACTGATCAAAATCTAAATTGTCTACTAATTGTTAGCTTTTTTTATTCACAATAAAATCTATTGATTATTATCTCGAGTATAAAATTCAAAAGTTATCCATTTATGATGATAAGTTAATCAACTGAAGATGTTGATTAACGTTCACCCCCTTGGATATCACAATTTAAATGATGAAAATTGAGATACAATTAACTGATTGATGATGAACAGAATCAAATTGCATGTAAATTAACTGATTAAACTTATGCGAATGATTAACTTGATTATAACGGTAAAATCTTAAATACAATTAAATGTGATTCATTGTTAATTGTTTGTTATTTTTTCATCAATTATCATCATTAATAAATCACTAAAAAAGTTTTGATACAATTCAATTCAATTGTTATTGATAATTTTTTTGTATCATTTAAATATATTTATCATGTTGATCAATCCAATGAACTTAAATCGTGATTGACCTGAAATAATGTTAATCAAAACAATATCAATAATAATATCACAATAATAATACAATTTAATCATCTATTATTATCAAGATTATCCAACCCATTGTATTAAGAGATATTAATCTGATCAGATTTCATGTAAAAACCAAAAGATTCATTCTCTATCATGAAAATGAATATTTTTACCTGAATCCAATTAAATCAAGGTTTTTAATGTCTATTTATGTATCATCATCATCATCATCATCATCATCGTCATCTTGATTATCAACAATCAATAACTTTCATCGCTTTTATTGATCAATAAGTTTCATTTTTTGTTTGTTTGATCAATGGAAAGTGATAATTTCATCAATCAGATTAATCTGATAGGCAAAATGAATATCCTTCAATTCAATGTCAATATATTTTGATTATCTTATAATATGATAAATATTAGATATAAAGATGAAGATGAAGATGAGGATGATTAAAATAAGGGTGTTGATGGGAAGATGATGCTGATATTGAAAGGATAAACTCATTGGACCGTAAGAGTAGTAATTTTTTTTTTCTTTGCCATTACATCATTAATACAAACATTGCCTCTGGAGATAAACAAGATGATGAGGATGCTGATAATTCCCATAATGATGATGTAATCCAATGATAATAACGGGTTTCCTTGTTTATAACCAACACATTAACCCACTTACCTGTTATTAAAAAGTTATTATATTAGTTTTTCATTTGGAAAATATTGAAAAAAAAACTTTCTGATGAAGATCAACACTCATGTAGATTAAATTTGATGATTACAGATGCCTAATGGATTAAGAGTTAATCTCAGTATAAAAGGAAATTCAATTTCAATGGATTCTCAACATAATTACATGTTCTCATCACTTCTACCTTGTTTATTAACTCTTCTTCCTCCTCCACCCTCCTTGAAGATACTCTTCCTCTCCCATCATCTCTCTCTCTCTCTCTCTCTCTCTCTCTCTCTCTCTCTCTCTCTCTCATCACTACTTTTGCTGGTGATTTATGTTGATTACCACCAATTGATTAAGTGTAACTTAAATCATTTCCATCATTGGTCACACTAATTTTCATGCTTCCTTAAAATACTAAACGGAAAAGTTTACTTGATTCTTTTTCTGAAGAAACAACAAAAAAAAACTGACCTCAGGTCACTTGTTTTGTTGTTGTTTTCATTATTGATGATACGTTGTCTTACCTTTGCTTACCTGTTTTTTTCACAATCATACCCGATCATTAACAATGAATTTTAATTATCAATAAACCAGGGGTCATATTTTGGTTTCTTTTTTGTTTCCAATTACCTTGTTGGTCAATACCTTGACCACAGCATGATATGGAAATACACACAGAGGGAGAGAGATTTGAATAATATAATAACATTTTCTGAAGGGATGACCAGGAATTAATTGTAGTCTATTTTTTTACAAGTAAAGAAACAACAACACTAACCCAGGAAACGGAAATGATAATAATATTTACCTTGAAAGTTGAAAAAAAAACCATAATAAAAACCAACATAAGGTTGACCCGGAAATAGTTTCCTAACAATATTGTAATTAAATTGATTATAATCGTTGTCATAGCTAAAACAATTAACTTGAAATTGTGAAAACAATTAACTCAAGTTAATCATAGTAATTACAGTTAGTATATTTTGTAATTAACGATCAACTGATTACTCTTGAACTGGATTAAAACGCTAAGCAAAAAGTAAATTATCAAACAATTAACCTTGAGACTTTTACTTTCTTTAACCTTTTACCCTAAGGGTAAAAATCAATCGATTAACCCACTTTTCCCTTGTTGTTGATAAACAAATATAAATAAATCCTAAGAGAAATCAGATTATCAAACATTTGATGATTAACTTTAATTGTATCTTTTTTTGCTTCTTTCATCATAACAGATTCACAATCCTAACAATTAACTCAAATTGTAACTCTCTCACATTGGTGATTTACATTGACAATGAAAACATTGAATTGGATACAAAATATGAATCACTGATGAAATTATCATGAGAAATCAAATATAACCTTTGGGAATCAATTACAATCATCTCGATATTGAATTGATATGAATCATCATCATGTTGGTAATCAGTTAATCATTGAAAAACGAATATAAGAAAATCTCTCTCAAGGTAAACATTATCTTTTGAAACGTTTTCTTTTCTCATTTACTCACCAAACAACTCACCTTTTATCATGATGATGATCATGTTTGTAAGTGAGTAAGTGAGTGGAGTGAGTGGAGTGAGTGGAGTGAGTCAAAACTTTATCAGTTTACCGTAAGACGTTGATAAGCTCAGGTAATCATGTTGTTATCAAGTTACAGTCCCACACAAAAACAATCATCATCCTGATAACACACTCACACACAATAAAGGTAAACAAACATTATCATCACTCTCACTTTTTTTTTCTTCTTCTTTTATCATCTCACTCATGTTACTCACACACACACACTCACAATTGATGGAGATTAGTCTAACAAATAATCAACAGGTAAAACCAGTGTCGTTTTTCAATGAACAGTAACAACAACAAATATTAAGTTAATTGTTTAGATTAACTTACCTTATTGATTTGAAAATTTGTTTAATCATCTTTACAAAATGTTTGTTTGTTAATCAACTTTAATTACAATTGATGTTACCTCATCATCTCATGTTAATAAGTGTTTACTTGTGTGAGTAAATGATGAAATATCAATGATGGACAATTTGTGAACTCGTGCCAACATCATTTTCAAATGTTCATCTTCAAGTAGAATCTTGTTTTCTTTTTTTCCTCATCTTCATCTTCATCCCTTACTCTCTCACTTTCTCTGTTATATAACATGGACTCAAGTCAAAAGATCTAAACTTCGTTTCTCTCTTTTATCATCTTCCTCTCCATCCTCATCTCTCTCTCTTTCTGTGTACTTTTAATCTTCTCTTTATCCTCTACCCTCTATCTTCCTTCTAGGCCTACGATATATTTACTATCGCCCTCTCCCTCTCTTCTCATCCTTATTTTCATCCTCATCTTCCTCTTCGTCCCAAACCCATAGTCTATTAAGACTCCGTAGATATTAGATGATCTTTCTTGTACTAACTTGAGGCCACCAACAATCAACCATTAAAATTAGAGCGAAACTTTTTCTTCTTAATCCTAATCTTAATCTTTTCTTGTTTTTCTTTGTTACTTTCTCTCTTTGTTTATGTTTATTTTTCTCATCACATTTGTTCATCTAAATGGTTAATATCATCACACCAGTGACACCAATCAACTTGATTGTTTTGGAATAATCAATTATTCAAAGAATTAAAGTTTCAAAAGTTATTCAATTTAAAGAGGAAAACAAAAAGACAATGACCAGTGACATTGGATTGACCACAAGTAATAAACAATTAGTGTCTCAACAAAACCATCAGGATAGTTGTAAAAAGATCAACAGTCCAAGTGAAACCATGAAAGAGGAAAATAGTGAGGATTATGTAAACAATACGATCGCCTCGAATGTCCAAAATGGTCAACAAGTTCGACACCTCGAACCTCGACCATTTCGTCCATTTAAATCATCAGAGGAATATCTTTATGCTATGAAGGAAGATCTTGCCGAATGGTTAAATGCCCTTTACAATTTAAGCATAAATGTTGACAATTTCATGGAAAAACTGGAAACTGGTGTAATACTTTGCAGGTAATTAACTAATTGCTTACAATTAACTTTCTATCTCATATCTTTTACCTTTAATTACTTTGTCCTAATAATCCCAAATAATATCACTAATCCATTTGCTATTCATTGTTGTTGTTGTAATAGTTTTGTGCTTTTGCCTTGAAAATATTTTTGTTACAATTAACTAATTGTTGACTATTTGGTAACCATAATCAACTTATAATCTTGATTATCAATTTAACTAGAATGTAAAATATGATTGCATTGACTTTTCCTTTTACTTGGTTTACTTAAATTGTTTTTGGTTTATATTTAATTTAGTTAATTAGTTAATGCACAATTTAGTTGATTACTTGGACTCTGACCGATGGTTAATAATTAATGATGAAATGTTAAATAAGAAAGTGATTAACTTGATGAACTGAATTAATGATTAGCTTAATTCATCAATGAAAACGATTCCAAGAATTGGATTTATTTTCTTTACATTTAATTGTTTAGGTTTATTTACCTTTTAATTGTTGATTGGTTTTCGTTGATTGTTATATTACAATAATAACAATTAAAAGATGAACCTTAACAGTTACTTATTGTTTGCTAACTACAAACGCTCAATGGTGACAATTAACACTTTTTTCAATTGATTTGGTAAAGGAATGACAATATTATCACCTATTGGTGACAATTAACTAATTGTGATGGCCAATAAATGATACAAATGACAATTTTGATAACAATTAACTTTATTGTGAATAGGAAATCCTTTTGCACCCTTTGATTTTCATTTGGACAACAATTAACTAATCAACTTTCAGCATCTTTATTACAATGTATTCACCTTATTTTGTTTCCTTAATTGTTGTTAAATTGTAATATTTTTTTCGTAATTTATTTAACAACAATTAACATATTGTCAACCCTCCAAGATGATGATCATCTTTGCTTCCTATTTGATTGTTAATGATTGAAAATAAATCACTAAACAATTTGGTTCCCAGTTTATTCAATAATCAACTTCATTGGTTAATTGTTGCCAAATTGGCAGAAAAAAAATCTTACTTTGTGGTTAAAATTGATTACAATTAGTTAATTTTATCGTAATTTTTTCTTCCTCCTAATCATTTTATTATTATATTTAATTTAGTCGGTAAAGTGATTAGTCAAATTGTTTGATTATATTGTTGATTACGATTGAAACCAGAAATGGATTAACTCAGTGTTATATTAATAGTAATAACTAAATTTAATTGTCACAATTATTTGAACGGGAAATTGAATCAAAGTTAATTGTTGAGCTATTCAATAAGTCAATGGTCTTTGAATCAATATTGATTAATTTTCAATGAGTTGATTGTTAATTGTTGAGAGGATAATTTGATTCTTTTTTTTGTGTTGAGAAATTTGATCAACAATTAACTTTAACTTGTCAACTTGAATGTTAATTGTCAGAGTGATGAGGAAAATAGGAGGAGATATCGGAGTGGGTTTCTATTAACATAGCGGGTTTTTTGTTTGACCTTCAGGTCTTGGGTGGGAGAGAGCGGGTTCTTATTGATGGTCAGTACTGTGGCTCTTTCAGTGTAAATATTAGTACTTTTTAGTTGAATCTACAAAATGTAAGGTCAAATTGTCACTCAGCGGGAATTTGACGGGACCGTCGATTCTGAAGCCAATTGAAATGCTACATAGCAAATGATTGTTAACATTAAATTGAAGGCGAACAAAAAATAAAGAAAAGAAATCTCATCTTTCCTCTCGTCATCCTCATCTTCTGCTTCTCATCAATGCCTAAAAAAGGTCTCTCTCTCTCTTATCTTCCTCTTTCTTTTCATCTCTCTCTCTCTCTCTCTCTCTCTCTCTCTCTCTCTCTCTCTCTCTCTCTCTCTCTGTACTTTCCTTCATCTTCTCATTTATTCTTGGCTGTTCTTTGCTCTTTCATCTTTATCTCTTGAAGAAAAAGAGAAAAGCAAAGTTGATGAGATGAAGATGATTTGGATGAGAGAGAGAAGAGATTTTTAAATATGACCTGAACTGTTAACTCTCCGCCCTGGTTATTAATGGATGGAAGAGAAAAAACTGTAAGTTCGACGAAGCAAAAAAAGTCTCTTTCATTTAGTATTTTTATTCCAGAGATGAGAAGGAGGATGAAGATGAAGTGTAAGATGTTTCGTAATGATCAGTATCATCATCTTAGTTTATATTCCCATGAAACTACTGTATTTAGCATCCATGTTCATCATCAAAATAATGATGATGATGATGATGGTGACCTGATGTTAAATGACAAAATAACCTCTTGGATCCAAAGTTTACAAAATCAAATTTTGATTACATATTCTGACTTGAATTGAGTTTAAACATTAGTGTCAATCAATGCAAATATGAATTATTGTATTTACTCAATAACAATTATGATGGACAAAAGGTGGACAATGAAATTCATTACGAGGCAAAAGGGAGTAATGGAGAAAAAGATGAAAAAGATTGGAAAGAAGAGAAAAACTTTCTGACCAATGGCCAGTGACCAATGGAAAATGATGATGATCCATTTTCATTTCTAGTGTCATCGTATCTTTGTCTTCATCTTTGACAATCATCCACTCTTTCAAAAGGGAGAGTCAAAATCTCTCTCAAAGATTCGCCCTTTTATTAATAACATTATCTCTCTCTCTCTCTCTCTCTCTCTCGCCAAAAACAAACTTTGCTTGACCAAACAAACTTGAAAACATTTATCATGACATTCATCATGAAAGATGATGAAAAGATACACCTCCCACTCTCACTAACCTTTTCCACCTTTACTCCCCATTATCACTGACCAATAACATCGTGTAGGTGATGATGATGATAAATGAGATAAAATGATGATCTATTAATGGAACATTTTGTTTTCTTTTTCTTTTTCTCTTTAATCTCTCTCACAGACACGCCAACAATATAATCAGAAAGGCTCGAGCCAATCCTAATCTTGTCAATAATCATTCTGGTGGCAGCGGTGGTACTAATCCTAATCATGGTTCTATTCCCATTGAAAAGGAGTTATCATTTCGTGCGGATGTTAATCCGGGCACTTTTCATGCTCGTGATAATGTTTCCAATTTCATCTCATGGTGTCGAAAACTCGGTATCATGGAGTGTCTCTTATTCGAGACCGATGATCTTGTCCTTCGAAAAAACGAGAAATCATTCATTCTCTGTCTTCTTGAAATCGCTCGACAAGGAACCAAAATCGGTATGATCGCACCAATGTTGATCCAATTAGAACAAGAAATTGATCGAGAAATCGCTCAAGACGCTCAATCATCTATCGAAAACGATAAACTGACCACTACAACTAAAGGTAAAGATGAAATTTCTTCATCATCCACGCCCATCACATCGGACGATAATAAAGAGAATCGCAAAGCACTCGAATCGATGAAAAATCTTCACGAAATGGTAAGAAAAATATTCGAAGTTCTATCATTTTTTTTCGAAAATTCAAAATTTCGAATATTTTTTTCTTTCTCTTTATAAACAATTTAATCTCCTACAAGATTAACAATGAATTAAATTCAATTTGGATAATCCATCATCTCAATCTAATGATAATTAATACTGTTGATTAATTTTCTCCAGGCTTAATCAATCAATTAACCTTTTTTATTAATCAACTTTGATTCTTTTAAATAATTCACTTAAATTCTATCTAAATGAGTATTCAATTAATCAATTAACTTGTAATTAGTAAATAAGATAATTATTACATGTCAGAAAGATGATCTAATATGATTACTAACAATTTAACTTTAATTGTCAACCTGATGATGATGATTAACCTTTTTTTATTTCTTACCCAAGGATAATCAACAATAGGAACATGATCTTGCATCATGATTAAAATGTTAATTGTCAACAATCAACGAATCATAAAAATTGATCAAACTAAACCAATAAGTAAATACACATTTCTAACCCTGTTGATTGTGTGTTTACAATCAATTTAAAGCATGACAATTAAATCAACAAAGATTCAATATTGTTAATCCTAAAGACAGAAACCACAAAAATTACAATTTCCGTTTTAATCAACAATTTAAATCAACTTTTATTTACCATTAAGATTAACCTTGACTATCATTGACACTCCACCCTTCAGTTAACCCACCGCCTCCATCATCATCATCATCATCTTTTGTTGTCCATTCAAATCCATAATGATGAAGCATATGTAACAATCAACTAATCATTTCCATCCATCAGTAAACAATTTAACCCACCGTTAACATCCCACTCCTCCTCATCACCCACCGTCATGATAATAGTATGAATTTTGATGAGCTACTATTTTTTCATAGCTAATCAATAATTGATTTGATTGTTTGATCTAATGGTTTGGATATTAATGAATTTAAATTGTCTTGTTAATCATTGTGATATTTAAATGGTTGGTTAATCATGATGATTGAAGGTCTTGACCTAACGTTCAATTTGCTTTCAATTTAATCATGTTGTAACTTTTTTCTTGGTAACAATTAACTAATTCAAGATGATTCAATTGATTAGTTTTGGTTTCATTATTTAATTCAGTTTATGTTTATGTCTACCTTTTAATTGTTTTATTAACTTTTTTTTTTCCTTGATTGTTATTTAATTCAATCTGATTTACATAACCAGTTCAATGGTAACAAACTTTAATTGTTGGTTAATAATAATTAACCATATTATGACTTGGGTGTTACAATTATGATTAAATTGATTATCATCATCTGAATATTATTTTGTGTCTAAATTGTTTCAATATTAGTTGATTGTTGATGATTTTTATTTTGATTGATTATCAATCCAAGTTAATCACTTTACCCTTTTGGATTAAGATAGATTTAGATTTATCATTTGTGTTAATTGTTGAGTTTTCATCATCATTTCTGGTGATTAACAAAAACCACCCAATCACAATTAACTTGTTGTTAACTAATTGTCTTGATTGTATAGCTGTGAACAATTTAAATGTTATCTTGATTGTAACAATTAAGAGAGGGAAAAGGTTGGTTAGAATTGAAAGTGAAAAGTTAAATGATTAACCTTAATTAACTTGTTAATTGTCTTGATACGATATGATTATCTGTATACTAATTGTAATTGTTCATCTTTAATTGTGATTAATTTTTTGTTTCTTCTTCTACCTTTACCTTTAATTATCATAATCTAAATCAAATTAATTAGTAGATGAAACTTTTTTGGTCTGTAAGTGATTAAGATTGTGCTTATAATTAGTTAATTAATCTTGATGAGACTAATTAACTTTATCATGTAGTGATTAATTTTGGATTTTTATTCATTTTTTGATTGTAGTGATTAATATTGATTAAACTAAATTAATCAACACTTAACTCTTGACTTTAAGTTTATTTGAATCATTGCAAAAGTTTAATTTTAAGTTTACTATTAAATTGATTGTGAATTAAACAGTTACCATTAAGAAATTAAAAAAAAAGGTTAATTAATTCATATTAACGGTAAAATATGAACCGCAATTAAATGATAATCAATTTAATTGTAATTTCCTGATTTAATAATCAAGGAAGTTCATCTCACCCACCAACTCCCACTTTTAATCATCTTTCAGTTGATCATCATTAACTAATCGTTGATGATCAACAATCAATAAAATTCAATCACAATAAGCAAATAAACATGATTAAAATCCCAAAATCGTAACAATTTACCAACAATTAAGAGACAAAGGATCAACAATTTACAACTCTCAGTGTGAGTATTAACCTTGAAATAAAAAAATCAAATGAAAATTGTTGATTAACTGTAACTGAATCAACTGATTTACAATTTACTTGATTTATCAATGATTCCGGTTGGTCTATGATTGTTAACAATTAGCATACTAAATTAGCAATTGAAGGTCAATTATATTAGTTACAGATCTTAATCATTTAACTTAAATTAGTCTTAATTTAAAAAATTAATCCATTGACTTTGATTTACAACAATTAACTTGAAAATCACAAAAGTCTCCTATCAATTATGATGAATTGATATATTTAAATTGTAGGTCAAATTTTTAATTAGTTTTACAGTTTAAACTTGACAATCAAGTTAACCAGATTTTTGATTGTCAGAATTAAGGTAAATTGTTACAAAAATTGATTAACAGTTAATCATCATCTTTGGTGTAGGTGGTTGTTTTTTATTAACTTTTAATTTTTCCTAAAGGTAATTTAAGATTGAAATCTAATTGTATTATAAGATTAAGTTGATTGTTATTGATTGTAGTACACATCAGGAAGATGATTAACCAACAATTTAACAATTGATCTTAATTTAGCTCCTCTCGTGGTTAGGTGTGTCTCCGTTAATTGTTACTGTAGTTAATTTTTTTCACATTGAGAACAAAAAAAAATAAAAGTTAATCAATTTTCACAATGATCAACAATTTAACTAATCATTTGACCTTAATTTAGTTTTCTCTTTAAATTGATTCTAATAATAATTAACAATTTATTGAGATGATCATTTAAATAGATCAAGAGGAAATGATAATAGACTTTTAAATGATCGTAATGACAATTAATCCAAAAAATTAATTGGGAAAATTGTTCACTTTGATTGGTAAAATCATTGGAAATCTAATTGTGTCAATTGTGATTATACATTGATGATGATTAACTATCACAATTATCAAGTTAATTATGTATTCATAGTTAAAATTATTTCAGATAATTAGTGATTACAATTAAATATTCATTATATTGTTATGTTTACCTTTAAACATGATTAGTGGTTTAATCATTTGGATGATTAACTTTGCTTTTTTTGGGATAAAAAGGTTAATTAATTAAGTCTTCATCATCTTGATTAGTTTGATCATCTTCCTGATTTCTTGATCATCTTTATCCTTAATCATTATCATGATGATGATGATCAACCAATTCAGGTTTCCAATGATTAACTTGCGATGATACAAATTTTGTTTACCTGATTAACCTTGAATCGCAACTGAATCAAATTTAATTATTTTGATTATTGATTAACTGTTTTTTTCCTCACAAGAAAAAACTTGTTCACCCATAAACATACTTACTATTTTGTTGATTAACAATCACAATTAGTTAATTGTTTACCAATGGAAATTGAGTAGCTTATTGAGAAGTTTTTAAATTGTAATTTCTGTTTTTTAATTTTCTATTAATATATTTATATTATAAACTTTTTTTTTAATTCTTGTAATCCATTGGCACGATTTTAATTGTTCTGATTAATTGGATAACAATATATATTAGTGATAATCTTTGATTATATTCAACAATTTTATATTTTGAGATGAAACCAGAACCAAATTTATAATCTGGTGTTAATTTTGTGAACAATTAATTGTTGAACACAAATTCAAACTGGTTAACATTAATTTTAACTCTTAATTGTATTACTATTTAAATAGATGATTAATTGTTGAACAGCAATCAACTAATCAGACTTAATTTCAATATCATCCTTTTGATTATCATCAGTCTATTAATACATGATCACGATTTTGTAATAGATTTTAATTTTGGTCTTTTAGCACAATTAACACACCCAATGTTAATTGTTGTGGTTAAATTGTTACTCTCTCTCTCTCTCTCTCTCTCATCAATAGTTAATGTTAACAATTAAAACAATCTGGTAACTCGGTTAAGTATTGGATTAACTTAAATTGATTGTTAATTGTGATTATAACAAATTCTTTTGTATTTTATGTGCGCTTCTCGTTGCTTTTGAATTCGAGGCCATCGATGGTGTTAGGTTATAATTGGCCTCCTCACGTCGTTACGATTATATCGGTCGTGTGGTGATCGTAAAGAACTGAATTGATTGTCATGAAATTACAAGGAATCCAGAATTTCTTGATTCATTTTTCTTCATTGCTCATCCTATTTAAATGAGTATATTTCTTATTTCAGTCTTTTTATCAACATGAAATTTATTCACACGGAGGTTGATTGAATGCGACCTTTCTTACAGTACACATTCAAATGACCTTTAAATGCGCTCTTGAAGAAATGACCGCAAGTATCTTGAAACTATTTATCCATTAATTTCTGTTAGTCTCTGTATCCTATTTGTCAAAGGGTTAACGGGTCATGAATATTTTGGAAACGGTTGTGAATATCCTTGTATGATTATCTAAATGCGTTCAATTGTTATTCACTATTAAATGTTATTGATTAACTTTGGACAGTTGATGTTGATTAACATAATTTAAGTTAATCACTCTTTTCATTTACTCACGTGTTGGTTAATCAATAACATGAATTTTACAATTAACTATCACTCGGTGATAAAATGAATTGCGTGATTAAAACAAACTAATTTGATTTAGTTTTGTTTCCTTTTACTCTTACACCAGTGGAACAATTAACTAATCATCAAACTAATAATAACCATCAATTTAGGTTAACTTT